CCGCCCCAGCTCTCACCGGGCTCTGGGGATGACGAGGGCCACGATGGCGTCAGCCGGGAGAACCTGGGCCGCATCCAGTTCAGCGTCGGCTACAACTTCCAGGAGTCCACTCTGACCGTCAAGATCATGAAGGCGCAGGAGCTGCCGGCCAAGGACTTCAGCGGCACCAGCGACCCCTTCGTCAAGATCTACCTGCTCCCCGACAAGAAGCACAAGCTGGAGACCAAGGTGAAGCGGAAGAACCTCAACCCGCACTGGAATGAGACCTTCCTCTTCGAAGGTAGGGGCTGGGATGGACTGGAGAGGACTGGGATGGGAGCAGAGCGGTTGCGGGACCCTCAGTCCTCCCTCCTGGGCTGGATCAGCTCAGCTTGAGCTGCCAACATGGTGGCCATCGGTGATGGAATGGGTTGGCCAAGCCATCAAGGCCAGGTTGGAGGTGTTTGCGTCCTGTGAAGGGGAAACGGGGGGAAGCTCCTTCCCACCCCAGCAGGCACCCATGGGTGGGAATTAATCCGCTACCAGCCGCCGCGGTGGCCCGAAGCCACGTGAGGTGCCCCATGCTGCTGTGCGCTCCCCACCCGCTGCCTGGTGCCAACATCTCCCCAGCAGCACGGTCAAGGCAGGGTGGCACCAGCCCCAGGTGCTGCTCATCCTCATCCCCTCCGTCTCTGGCACAGGGTTCCCCTACGAGAAGGTGGTGCAGCGGGTGCTGTACCTCCAGGTCCTGGACTACGACCGCTTCAGCCGCAACGACCCCATCGGGGAGGTGTCCATCCCCCTCAACAAGGTGGACCTCACCCAGATGCAGACCTTCTGGAAGGACCTGAAGCCGTGCAGCGATGGCAGCGTAAGGCCCTGGTCCCCGTCCCACCCCCTGGGGACAGTCCTCAAGGGGAGGCAAGCCCTTGTCCCTGTGGTGTTCCGACGAGACCACCACCCTCTTGCTACCCCAACGGGGACGTTTGCTGCTTTGCGAGAAGGTTGGACATCCAGCGGGCAGGTTGCTCCTCCCAAATATTTATCTATAAATTACGCCACTAAGTAGCCCAAGGCGAGTGTCTCATTTTGGGTCAAAAAAGAGCTGTTTCGGGTAGTTCCAAAATGAAACTTTACTTTTTCTCCTGCCTCCAGCAAAACCAGAAAACATCCCACTGGGGCTGGCCCCGTTTCCTCCTGCCCTGATTTCCCATGCAGCCCTGAAGTCCACCCTCGGGACAGCTCTGGGGGTCCCAGCCCAGCTCCTGGCTTCCCCCGCGGGGCCCAGGGGGTTTGGGGG